GTAGAGCCATTAGGTAGAGAAACCAGAGAAAATAAGACATCCTGGGATGGCTAAGGGGCCCAGCTCCTCCTCTGAGCCCACCAGAGACGAAGACATGATAATCGGCAAGGGCAGACAGCTGTGGGGCTCAGTCCACTCAGCAGCTGTATCAAGGGCAGTGGAAAATGGCTGCCATTCATCCCTGCCTTTTTCCTCAAGGGTGCCATCCGTGATTCTCTCAAAGTAATATGAGCAGTCCTCTAAGGCTAGGTCTTGCCTTAAGTTAAGCTCTAGAGGAGACCAAATAGAAGTGTCACAGGTGGGTAGATGCGGATCTTCTCTACCCACCTCTGAAGCCACCGTTGGTGTGGGGGTACGGGGAGAACCTTGACTTGAACCACATCTATGAAGCCCCCACTCTAGCCATTGCTGCCTGCCACTCCTCATTGCACCATGAAAGGAAATAGATCTGACAAGTGTTCATGAACCTCTGTCTAGAACTACAGTCATTGCAATGGACAAAGAACCAATGGAGTGTATATATGTATTTGTATGTGTGTTATGTATGTATGCATGTATATGTGTATGTTAATTATTTTTGTTGTTGTCGTGATAAGATATCTGACATAAGATAAAGGTTTATTTTTGGCTCACCATTGGGGGGACACAGTCCATCAAGTTGGGAGTGGGGATCTGGCAGAGGAACTGGAGATAGTTGCCAGGAAGCAGAAAGAGGAAGGCCAGAGCTCAGCCCTCTTTTTCTTTTTCCTGTTTATTCAGTCTGGCATCCCAGCGTGTGGCCTGGTGTTGCCTACATTCAAGGTGGCATTCTTCCCTCTGTTCTTAACATGCCCTGGAATTGCCCTAACACACACTCTAAGGTGTGTTTCCAGATGGCTCTCAATCCAATTAAGCCGATGGTGAAAACCGGTTGTCACAGCTTATTCCACCCTGTAGTCAACCCAGACATAGATTTTTCAAATGTGAGAAGCGAGAGGGCATGCTCAGATTGTCTGAGAATATATCAACTACCAATATATCACCAGCAGTGAAATATGGGATTGAAAAATGTGAGCAACTGAACGAAATAATGTAGGAGGACAGAATTAATTGAAGGCTGTATGTAGTATTACTAAAGATGGTTTAAAAGGGGTTGGAGTACAATGAGCAAGAATAAGTCAATGTGAAAAAATAAAATACCAAATCACAGTTAAATAACTTGACAAAATTCACTGCTGAAGTTTAATAATAATCATAAGAATCCAAAGACAAAAGTAAACAGCCAGGAGATCAATTTTAGAAACACCGTCAGAATATAGATGAAAAAGACAAGAGGAAAAGTAGAAGTCATTTGTCCAGCTTACTTTTTGCTTCTGTGAAAAACAAAACAAAAACAAGCAAACAAACAAAAAACACTGACCAAAAACAACCCTAGGAGGAAAAGTGTTATTTGTTTTTCAGATTATATATAGTCTGTGGAGAGGAGCCAAGCCAGGAACTCAAGACAGGAAGCTGGAGGTAGGCACTGAAGCAGAGACCATAGAAAAAAATCCTGCTTACTGACTTAGTTCCCCTGGATAATTCAGCTGTCTTTCTTAGATAGTCCAGCCTACCTGCCCAACGTGGGCATTGCCCTCAGTAGGCTGGATCATGCTATAACAACCAGTAATCACGAACGTACACTACAGACTTATTGGATGGGAGCAATTCCCTGATCCCCTCTTAGGTGTGTCAAGTTAACACCTGAATCTATGACCACATTCTAGAAGAAGGCAGTAGACATGTTGAAGAAATTACCAAAGACATATTACATCAGACCCAGCTAAGTGTGAAGGAATGTGAAAGACTTTTTAGAGGTGTGACTGCAGCCACCAGAAAAAAGTAATTTAAAAGGTGTTGACTGAGACTAGTTCTTCTGGGAAATAGATGTACACCTCTGTACAGCAACTGACTTTTTCTATCATTGTCTGACACATGTAGGCACCCATTTATGTATCAAAGTGCTAACCAAATAGTATGCACATCTAGCTAAGGGAAGAGTGGGGATTACCACCCCAGAGGAGTGTCACGTCTGACAACAACCTGTCCCTTGGGTAATCTCTGAATGGAGAGGTGGCCTTTGGACTGTATCCACACTGCAAACACACAGATGCCTTCACAATCACGTGCCAGAGTGGAGGCAGCCTGAGGCAAGGACACCTGTACCATGGCAAGTATTCTATGTTAACATGTCAACACAGATGTGAAGGTTCTACACGGGTCAGTCATCATATACCTGCTATCCTCCGTTCCACCGCTACTTAAACAGCTCTGCCCAGAAGCCCATGGGGAAAGGGCCCAGAAAGCTTCACTGACATATTCAGTGTGTAGGGATGGCCAGTAAATGATGCCCAGGCTGGCCATCTATGCATTGCTGGAAACGTAACCTGGTCAGTTACCTTTTCATCACCGTGATAAAAATGTTCAATCTGAACAACGGAACGATGGTTTTTGGCTCAGAGATTTCATTAGTGGTTGATAGATTTCACCTATCCAGGCCCATGGCAAGGCAGATGCCACGATGAAAGCAGAATAGAATAGAATTTCTGGCACTCAGTTCACAGGTGCCAGCACACAACGGGCAGGCTGTCTGAAGACAAGATACACCTTCAGAAATCCCAACCCAGTGGCCGTCTCCACTGTCTCCCAATGGTCAACCCAGTCGTGAGTCCAGACACAGATCAACCCATCATTTGAGACAGAGGCGCTCCATCTCCTCACTAACTCAGCAGTACCACCCAGCCCTTTAACACATGAAACTCTGATGTACCGGTCCAAATGCAACCCGTCAGTACTGGGATCCATAGTTAATGGAAGATAATAGAATCCCTTTCCAACTTCAGACAATTGGCTGGGAACCAACAAGGTCGGAGTTGCTGGGCAAAATCGCACAAGCTGCAGCTCTCGGGTCTCTGGTGTCACTCAGTTCTCCTGATCTCGTCGCCTGGTCTTGGTTCTTGGGAATTCTCCCACTTCTTTAGAACACGGGTTCCCTCTCAGCGGCTACTCCTTTTACTTGAGTGACCTTGGAAAAGTCTTTCTTGCAACCCAAGTGACAGTATGTTGAAAAGAAGCCCGAGAAAGCACGGCATTCGGAAGGGACTGGAGGGCTGATGGTGGCCACCGGGTAGCAGGTGGGAGGCGGCTGGCGTGCTTCGTGTGTAACAACAGCTGGCACCAAAGGGGCTGGGTATTGACACTGAGGCCTTTTGTTCCCCAAGCTAAATTGCTTAATGATTTTATACATTTAAAAGGATTAGTGGAGATCTCCGGATAGTTCTCAAAGTCCCTTCTCTAATTAGGTGGTGTGAAAAGAAAGGAAGAGAACTTTCCAGTTGCCTTTAAGGACAGTGTCTTTGTCTTTTGGAACCAGGCAAAGGGCTCTACACGATTCAGCTTTTCAAAACGAGAATCAAGAAAATGTATAGAAGACGTTGAGTGGTTGTTCCTTGCTGCATATCCCTCCTAGAGAGCCCTTGTTGGGACATATAGGGAACTGAGAAGTCCCTGCCAGTAAGAGACTGATGCGTCTCTGTCAGCCACCCCTTGGCTTCCTCCACTTGAACAAGGGAAACGTCACACCAGAGAAGGCCAGCTCTGTAGACCGGGATACAAACACTGCCCCTTTACACGCGGGCGTTAGCACAGTCAAAAGGCCAAGTCTGTGTTGCTGTGGATCAGGATGCCGAGTTCCTTTATTCTCAGGTGTGAACATGGCCAAAACAAATTGTTCAAGCTACAAATGACCAAACACTGTCCTATCCAAGGTAGGCTTAGCAGGAAAGCCAGTCGTGAAATTAATTCTGCCTCTCTGCAGCATCCCGTCTAAAGCCCCATGGTCTTTAAGTCCCAAGAACACCTAAATCAAGTCCTGATGCTTTCTAACAAGTCATTCCTGGGATCTGAACACTTTTTGAACACTCTTGCTGATCTGGTCTAGTTTCCAGGGAGTGTCTCTCTCCAGGAAACCATAGTAAATCCAATTTATTTGGCTCTAGGGGCATTACCTTGGTTTCTGCTAAAGCATTTGACAAGTCTCAGGATTTCCTTGTCTTGGGCACTAAAGAGCAGTGGCTTTCTTAGTCCTGGCCATAATTTCCATGTTTACCATCTGTGACCCACTGGTGCTTTATATGGGTCTCTCTCCAGTAACATCCCCATAGACGCCTCTTTCTGTGTTACTCCTATGGACAAGAGAGCTCCCTTGCTTCACAGTACTGTGACTATCATTTCCTAGACTCTCTTTGTTACCAGACAAAGCAAGAGTTGGCAGCACAGAGCTTTGAAGGTTCTTGGTCAATCTGGCAAGGTTCCAATAGCTTAGCTCACTTTATTAATTTTACAACTGTCTCCCAGCTGCATAGCCTTTCAATTTACAAACAACACAGCTCTTCCACATCTTTCTCAGGGAGATTGTGAATCCAATTAAGGGTGGAAAACCCTACAAAATAAATAATAATAAAAGTTCGAAGGCCATCAAACAAGGAAGCAAAAAAAATCATGCAGGACTCTGGAGCCCCGACTTCAGTTCCCTCTCTGACACTGATGCTTGAAATTTCATTACAGATTTTCATCGCAAGTGGTCTAGATCACAAACATATACCTCAAGGACTCATAATGTCCATCTCCCTCCCTCTTTCGTCCTCCCCTCTCCTATACTCCCTCCCCACACACATATACCCCATGGCAGGTAAATGCTCTAAGACTCAGCTAAAGCTTCAGCCTTCCTTTGATTTTTTTTTTTTTGAGTCAAAGTTTCACACTGTAGCCTGGGCTGGCCTAGAATTCACAGCAATCCCCCTGCCTCCACCTCCTGGAGTACCAGAGCCACCACCGGCTAAGTATGCCAAGGATGCACATTTCACTGAGTAAGAGGCTGGAAAAGACCAGCCTGCCTGATTGCCTCTGTTCCCTGGAAGTTTCATTTCTTCAAACTGGACAAAAACTTCGGTTCTAAAATTGCTTGGACAGCAGATTCTTTGGTTCTCTTGAGTCCCAGCTTCGCGAGTCACCACGAGGGCCAGCTGAACTCCCCTGATGTGGGAACGACCTAAAGAACACTTGGGTAGGAAAACGAAGGGGAAATGTGGGTTTGCCCTTTCCCCTTTGAGCCCTGAAGTACCTTGACTGCTCATTTGCATTTGCTCAGAGTGGGGTGGAGGGCATTCCTGCCGATTCCCTGGTGTCCTGGGGGTGGGGAAGAGGGCCAGGATGGAGGCTGGCCCCCAGCATCCGCAGGAGGATGGGCAGCGCTGCAGGAAAACACCCGGGGGAGCCTGGGTGGTGCAGCCTCCGATGCCTGCAAAGCCCAGCTGCCCGGAGAAGCTGACTTTGGACTCTGAAGAGTTCTCTGGAAGTTGGAGGGGCGGGGCGAGCAGCGCTCTCCTGTCCTACCGGAGTCCTGCGCGGGAGTGTGAGGAAGAACTCAGCCTGTAGTCTCGTAGTCCCAGTGCTGTCCAGCTACTGTCCCGCTCCTGATCAGGGGTGCACACAGGGTGCTTGCCCAAAGGGTCGGCAGGGCGCAGGCGCCGGCTTGGCAGAACGCACCGGCAGGATGGTGGGGCTGGTTTTGCTTAAGGCGCTGGTCACCAGGCTGCTGTTCGTGCTGCACTCTCTGGTCGCCGTCTGGCGAGTGACCTGGGTGAAGAAAGAGCACCGTTACTGGTTGCTGGCCCTGCTCAACCTCTTGCTAGTCCTGGAGACAGTGCTCACCCTCAAGTTCAAGCGCGGCAGAGGCTACAAATGGTGAGTGTCCTGGAAAGAGAGGAGGTAGAGGGTCCCGGGCATTGTTCATTATGGTCCTAGCAGGTGGCACCAAAGCCCTTGTCACTGCAGTGTGTGTTTTCCGCGCTGGCATAGAGGCCGGTGTGGTTCTCTGCTGAGCTCGTCAGCACGTGGGATGCGGTTACATCTTTTGGGCAAGCCAATTGTATCTTGGGTCCCAGCGTAGCGCTGGAGAGGCTGGAGTCTGGACCTTTGTACTTGGCTGATCCAGCTGATAGCCTTCACTAGAGGAGTGGAGCTGATCACTGGGTGCGCTGCTTTGTAAGTTCGTGTGTGAGACTGACTCGGTACCAGTCCAGGATGTACGTACAAGAGTGTGCAAGAGTCGGGATGCCTTACTGGGCATCGTGATCCTGGGGCAGACCTCAGCGCTCCGGAGCGTACACTGTAAGGTGGCTCCCCTGCACCCACCTTTGGTTTTAGCCCTCTTCCCTTCTTGCCAGCCCTCGGTGCGACTGTGGTTTTAGCCACTTCCAATTCCTTCCAACCCCAAACGTCCCTGACTCTCCAGTGTGAAACCAGTTTCAGGTGTCTGCGTTTGGTGGCTTTGAAACTTGGCAGCATACCTCATCAGGCATGGTTTATGCTAGGGATACTGGAATAGGGACCAGCAATGATTTAGTCTTAACCACACAGCATGGGAACTCAGGGTTCCTTTTGCTGGTGGCTGCATTTCCTCCTAGAGACTGAATGCAAATGAAAAAGGTTGACACAAAGATTACCCAACTCCTTGCAGAGAGCATCTGCAGTCACCCACAGTTACCTTCCAGGGCAATTCCATCCCAAACGTCTCCAACTTAGGCCTTTTTCCTTGAGGAAGCCGACGGTGGTATTAGTTTCTATGTTAATTGCATACACTTTGCTGTTGTATTAAGGTGTCACATTCAGGAAGCCCCTCGGCAACGGAGGAAAGGTTGTATATTTCATAGTCACTGTGGAAGAAGATGGGCTATCTTTGAAGATGAGGTGAACATGACTTTAAACCTCTGCTTTTGAGAAATATCTAGAATTATCAATGCTCAACTCCTTGGAGGGCTCAGGGTAGCTGGCAGAGCCAGGGTAGGCATGGTACTTCCCACCCCCCTTACCACAAACAATTTATGAAGCATAAGGCTTTTGTGGTAATTTCTAAGACTTATACAGGGGAGAAAGCAAGGGGGAGAGATGTTGCGTTCACCTGTGCTTTCTATAATAGAAACATTTGAGGTGTTTTCGCCTTTTTTCCCCTGAGTCATAATACACTAGACAAATCTTGCATGGCAGGAGGAAGTCTGAGGCGAAAAACTGTCCAGTGTGAAGTAGTCCGGACACCAACCACAAGCGCTTCTGGGACAAATGTAGATCTCAGGAAGGAGTCAACTCAGCAAAACCTGAAGTAACCCTTTTGTCCCCAAGAGTAGGCCAGAGTCGTTCAGCTCCTGTGGTAACACCAGAACTGGCAGAATACACGTCATAGTCTTTTGTGGGTTTCCCTGACTCAGGCTGTCATGGTACTTCCAACAAAGAAGGGGAAAATAATCTGGACAAATTGTACATGGGTCGGTGAGTCAGATAAATGGGTACCAGGAGTCATGTTGGTGTTTAAGCTGTGGGCTGCAGAATTGGGCTTAAAAATAGGATAGATTGTGGGTGTTCCTTCTTACTTGCGTAAACCTCAATGGATTTACTTAGTGTCTCCAAGCTTCAGGGTCAGATCTGCAAACACGTATTTCGCAGGTTGTTGGAGAATTATGTGAACTTATATATGTTGAGAGTTAATGGATCCTAAGAGGCTCTTTTTATACCCTTATTTTTTTATTTCTTTCATATTAAAATATTCTATGCCAAAATATCAGCGAGACACATTTTATTCTTGTGTGAGTCAAAGAACTTTAACAGAGGGACTATTTACTACACCATTGGCTCAGAGTGCAAAACAGGGGGAAAATCCTTCTGTTTCAAACTATAGACCTCTGCTGTGTGTTCTGTATTACATCACCGGTTCAAGAAAAAGTTTGCTGGCTTGATATCCCAACGAATATTTAAAAGTACGCAGGCAAGAAAGTGGATACATTTGGCTCATTACAAAAGTTCATGAACAAATGGCATACATAAAGTGGTGTGAATAGTCTGCTCGCTCTAGTTCTATCCAATCCCCAGGCTACACTTTGATGTTACAGAAGGCACACTGTAAGCCAGCCTGCGAAGATTGTCATTTGCACTGTAGATAAAACCACAAACAATGGGCTGCAAAAAACATAAATTAAATTATCCTTGAAATAATATGACGACAATGGGAAAGGCTTTGATTTGGGGCCTATTTCATTCTAGGTTGGAGTCTTCTGAGAAATACACGGCATATGCATTTTCTGTTTGGGAGTGTTAAGAACCATTTTCTATTCCAAATTACTAGCTGAGAGAATCAAAGAGAGAAAAACAAACACTATATCCATGCTAACTATATACAATGAAACACAACAAGTATTATCTATATGGGAAATGGTAATTTTATATAGTTGTATGTGTAGATTCACATGAACTGAGATAGATAAATGGTAGGTAATTTTTTGAATCAGAGCCTTCTTTCTATTTTGCAATCTGTCCAAAGAACCAAAAGACTCTACATGTAAAGAAACAAGACAAAACATTAACTCCCCCACATATTGGTGGAAAATTATGTTGGGAAAATTATAGTGAGAAAAATACGGTTTATTCATACTGATACTATTGAAAACGGTGAGATAGAGTTTAACCACTGCAGTAGAGTACTCTCCACTGTTTATTATCAGGACAGGGCAATTATAGACTTCTTTGTTATGGCTCATTTGTTACAAGGATGGACTTGGAGGAGAATTATACATTTTCCAATTGGAAACACTTGGTACACCCATCAGAGAAGAAGAAGAAAAAGAAATGACTGAATGAGAACAATTGCAAAAAAGAAGAAACACAGGAAGAGGGGGAGAAGAGAAAAACGTATCATTTAGTTCAATGTTTTCTTGATTTTTGTTATTTCGGTTTTCTGGGAAACAGCCCAACTCATCTATGAATTGTCATTTAGATAAAGTCAAAGCACACAAGACAATGTTTCAGTCGCTTCTCAGTCAGTAGTACTAGGGAGGAGGAGGCCATCTCAGCACTAACCCTTCTTCCATATTGAAAGATGAGTTGAATCCAGTAGCATCCAGTCAATGGCTATGACAGACTGGAGGGAAGCAAGAAGAGCTCCATCCTGCAGGCAGACATATGCACGCATACAAAGGGAATATAGAAGATCCCTTTGTAATGACTATTGCATCCATGAACTTCCTTTTTACTCTTTTAGGCTAGTTTGAATATTATTCACTTTGTTAAAATTTAAACCTGGACCCTGAAAAACTTAAGGAGGGATGGCACCAATCCCGGCATTCTAAAGGACAGTGGGGATTCGATTTCTCCATGCAGCAAGCATGTACATGTCTCCAAGGACGTCTTCCCAGCCCTTTGGAAGGGAAAGAGGAACTAGATGCTGAGCTCAGCTGCCCAGGGACAAGGAGCATTACAGCATCCTGACTAACTTGCCAGATGGAACGGTTAATGCTGGAATCCTATAGAATGCAGAGGGCGGACCCACCAGGGACACACCCAGAAAGAATGCCAGGGGGCTTTCTTTTCATTCCCCCAGTGTTCACACTACCTGAATCTTCATCTGTCTTTCTCCAAGTGGAAATCAGCATCACTTAGTTTAATTTGTTTCTTGATTTTTTTTTTATTTTCAGTTGTCTGGGCAAAGATCCAAAGGAATCTGTGAATTATCGTTTAGGTAAAATCAAATACAAGACAATATTCCAATTGCTTCCCAGCCAAGAGTGATAAAATACTTCTCGGGGGATAGGAAATGTACCCAAGTTTGTGACAAGTTTGAAGTTTGTGTGCTTGGAAGGAGGTAGTAACTGAGAATAAAAAAAGAAAAATTCTAAGGTGAAATTACTGGCAAAAAGTACAGACTTTTAAACATAGGTCTTTCTTCGTCAGAACATTAATAATGTGAAAGATTTGTGACCCATTGAGTTAGTGAATCCTTCGTCATCTCTCCTTTCTTTTTCCTTTATGGGTTAGTTAGGAAAAAACTGTTTTTTGTTTTTGTTTTTGTTTTTTCTAGAAAGTTCTCTGTAGTCCTGGCATTCAACCTGTGGCATTCTTTCTTCCTCCTGAGTGTTGTGGTTGCAGATATATGCTACCTAACCAAATCGACAACTATTTGTGTGGGAAGTAACAACAATATTGTGCAAGGTACTACGGCCTGACAAAAATAACAGGGAACGAAGAAAAAAAAAATAAACCTGAGAATTTTAAATAAAGTATAGCATTTTGATCCAGCGCTGTAATGTGTGGAATGAGAACCATTGCGAATCTTTAGCGTTTATCAAGTTTCAAGGACTGCCGGATTCTACACGCGTGGTCCTATCTAATTCAACAACCGCTATGTCTTTATTCCCCTATTTTCCCCATTTTCATACGGGAAACTGAGGCACAGAGTTGCTAAATCTTTTCCCCGAAGCTTACCGAGTTGGAAAGGACGAGACAGGGAATCGTGAAGAGAGCCCGCTCTCATCCTTGTCTGCTGTGCTCCTCAGTGGTCCAGAGGAGTCAGGGTGGGCGAGCATCAGTGTACAGGGCAGAGAACTTGGCAGCATCTGGGCTGCAACAGGATAAAAGGGTGAGCCTTGCATCTGGAGGGAGGGATTCAAAAATCCAGCTGGGAGGAAGGACACTCCCAGCTGGCAGAGCAGGGACCCTGGAGCCTCACCCTTCATTCAAGCACAAGACAGGCAGCCAGCACTCATTCGATGTAGCGGGGATGCAAATGTGGAAAACACGGGAAGAAACTGAAGTAAATTCCTCTCCCCCATCACTTCGTGTTTTTAATGAAGGAGATGAGAAAATTCACTAAAGAAGCACATAATTAGAAACTGGTGAACTAACATATCAAGTAAACAAAG